TGGTCTCCCTTTCCCTGGTATGTTTCGTCAATTTCAATTTCTTTCTTCCTTTACGAAACACTGACGTCCTCTATTGGTTTTGGTTTGTGGGCAGGAGCATGAGCGGGCGAGGGGCGGGGAGCTCGGAGCAACCAGCCGTGTGAGTGGGTCTGGCTGGGCCCTGGGTCCCTAGGTGGTTAGGTCTACGTTAGGAGCGTTTAGTCAGAACGTTAGGAGCGTTTAGAAGAACGTTAGGAGCGTTTAGTCAGATCGTTAGGCTCGAATTAGGCTTAGCTTGGAGACGCGTTAGCCTTAGCTAGGCTCGGATCTGGTTTACGGTCTAGTCTGGACCTAGGCTCGAATTAGCTATGACGTTAGGTTCGGACGGTCAGGTGTGGTTGGGCGTGGTTGGGCTAGGTTGAGATTGACTTCGATCTTCCCTCTCTTCCTTGCGCTGGTCAACCTGGCGGGAACTTGAAGATACATTTTGCTGCCCTATATCTAATTTTAACCGTCCCCCCTCCTTTCTGCCCTGTAATAAGTCCGCTCCCTCCCCAACAGGCCCCCAACGAATGACTTCCACCTCAAGACGATCAAGAGCCAAGAAAGGCGAGAAGCTGTGGATCTGCACTGCAGATGCGGTGGTTGACACTTAGGATCTTAGAAATTCTTTGTTATTACTTGTAGCTCTGTATTCAGAAATATAAGTATCTCTGCTCTTTACGACTAAAAGTGACTTTGCCTAGTAGACGAAATACGCAAGGAAATGAAACGAAACAAACCTTTTCTCTGGCTGTGCAGAAAACAAACCGTGGAAGAGTTCAGGCAGCCATACATCACACAGCACATACACAATACCATAGATACAGACTACAGACGTTAGGGTGTGTCAGATCCGCTTTCGCGCTAATCCGACCGGCCGGATTTCGCGAAAGTAACCGTGCTGCGACGCTCGTTTGCAAGTTTCGGCTACTTCGCCACATCCGGCCACATGTTGTAAGATCCGTTGGCCGTTTCATGAGTAAAAAACAAACCGACGTGCAGTCGACTCGAAAGTCGACCAGCCTAAGCTACAGTGACTGTGCGACTTCACATGCTCAAGCCTGCGACGACACAGCACATGGTAACTACAAAATAACCAATCATTGAAAAACATGCGACGCCTTCGCACAATCCGGCCAAACCTTCGACTGCAAATCTGACAGACCCCTGCAATTAGGCCACCAAAAGTGTCTGTTTTGAAGATGTGGCCTACGGGTGGTCGACTACGAAGTTGACCACGTAGTCGTCTTTCGCGAAAAAAATTGTCGACAATATGGTCGACAAATAACCAGCCAGAACAGCTTTCAGCGGCACACCCTTATTTCCGCATTGTACGCTTGTCGCAGCATCCGTGTTAGTCGCGAAAGTGACGGTCACCTTTAGGATCAACGCGAACGTCTGGCCCTCTTTTGACTAAATTCTTTATCGTTCACTACCGAAACTACGCTGACTATCATTAGAATACTGTCGAATTTTTTGAACGATCACACGGCGATCGAGAAGGCTGAATCTTTTGACGAAATACAATCTTTCCTTTCTTATCCAGATTGTAAACCCTCGCGGACTATGGCGACGAGAAGATTGAGAATCTTATTCCTACTCCTTACTTCGTACCTTTTTCTGATCTGAGTTATCATGACAGTTTAGATCGTACCCACCATTATCACTTTGCCGCGTCGGTCTCTTATTCGTAGTGTCTTCTGCAATTCTCTGCTGCCTTTTGCCCTGAAACGATTCTCATAGTGGAGAGGCAAATTACCTTTTTTTTTCTTCGTACCTTGATGCGACATGGTCCCGACTGGCGAGCTATCGCCTAAGCTGTCGGAGAGAAAGGAGGACGCGCTGGCGCAGGCTGGAAGGCGGAAGGTATGTGGCCGCGTTCGCATGACTGGTGTATTGACGTTAAGCAACGCATTCATTCAAGTGTATTATACGTTTCTAATTTCAAGCTAATTCCCGACCTTGTCAATCTTCTATAACCCCCCTTTTTTTTTCAAGCTCGCCTGTCACAGTTTTCCCGCATTCCGCCTAACGTTCCAAGTCCTCCGCTCGTCCCGCATCGTCCATTCTCTCCTTCTCACCCTCCCGTCCCCTCTTTTCCCAAATCTCCACGCAGCTTGAGGAGTATAAGCAGCGGAAACGAGCCACTGTGGCGTGTACAGGGGCAGGAGCCAGTGGTATGCAGCAAGAGCAAGGCACACGCGATCAGGTGTGCAGACGAGCAACCGTTTCCAGGCGTATACCAGGGCATCAGCACACGAGCAAGAAGGGTATTGGGCCAGCAGGAAATCATGCGATGGGTGCTGGAGTACCAGAGATAGAGCAACGCAGGAGCGCGTAGTGCTTTCGAGGAGCAGTAGTGCTGCAACCAGTGCTAGCAGCAGCATTTTCGATCCCGAAGGTTCGTCTAATGAGGCGTCGAAATCACATCACGCTCATTCACACACTCACACACACATACCACACCCACCAGGCGTCGAAATCACAAGAGCAGATGTACGAAGCGGATGGCATTGGCAGCACCTTTCAACCTGCATCCATGCAACTGTACTGTGAACTCACTCCCTTTTTATTCCAATCCATGAGGTGTCGGAGCTACGAGAGAAGAGGTACGAGGCAGATGGCATTGGCAGCAGCAGCTGATGGCATCAGCTGACTATGCGACTGTGACCTCACACTTTCTTTTTTTCTCAACATTTGTGCTCCCACCCATCAGGTGTCGGAGCTACGAGAGAGGATGTATGAGGCGGATGGCATTGGCAGCACCATTCAACCTACACTGCAATCATGCAACTGTTTGGTAAACTTACTTCCTTTTCATTTCAATACCTACCCACCCACACACCCATCCACACACCCACCCACACACCCACCCACCAGGTGTCGGAGCTACGAGAGAAGAGGTACGAGGCAGATGGCATTGGCAGCAGCAGCTGATGGCATCAGCTGACTATGCGACTGTGACCTCACACTTTCTTTTTTTCTCAACATTTGTGCTCCCACCCATCAGGTGTCGGAGCTACGAGAGAGGATGTTTGAGGCGGATGGCATTGGCAGCACCATTCAACCTACACTGCAATCATGCAACTGTTTGGTAAACTTACTTCCTTTTCATTTCAATACCTACCCACCCACACACCCATCCACACACCCACCCACACACCCACCCACCAGGTGTCGGAGCTACGAGAGAGGATGTATGAGGCGGATGGCATCGGCAGCAGTTATCTGTTTCTAGTGGACGAGGATGTGGTGGTGAGTGGTAGGGGTGGTGTGGGATGTGGTGGTGAGTGGTGGAGAGGTAGTACTTTTGTTGTTTCATTTTGGATTGATGGTGTGATGGACTTGGCATGGTTTTGGGGTTTCCAGGGCTGCTTGTAAGCTTACTGCTTGATTGTATCAAATCTTTCTTTAGAGGAACCTTATATGCAGCTTAGCCCACCCTTGTATGTTGCTAGGCACATGGTAGTATTGAATCGAGATACTTACTGTTGCCTCTGTTGCCTCTGTTGTCGGTGGACGGGTATGACGTTTCAGGTGTTCGTTTGAGGTTTAGATGGCGCCACCACGCTGCTCCACACCGATAGATCCGTGATTTCCGGCGCTGACCTCAAGACCGCGCTGCGAATTCGCCGTGCGCCTCTGCCACTTCCAAGCGACAGAAGCGACGGAAGTTGCGACGCGCCGCCGCTGCCGCCGCCGCCACAGTAGACAGCAGCAGCAGCAGCAGCAGCAGCAGCAGAGGGGCCCATCGACCACTCTGCTGCTGACCTGGAGGTGAGTGCTGAAGCCGCCTGTGTGCTCCACGTGTGCTTCTGCCTTACCACCCCCATTCCATGCCTGTCTCATTCTTACCCAGCCCCTTCCCCCCCACCCATTTTCCCCACCTCCCCTTTCTCCACTCTGTGTCTTCTCGCCATGCGCCAGCCTCTGGGGTTGGAGCGGCTGAAGCGGGAGCTGCAGCAGAGGGGGCTCAAGTGTGGCGGCACTCTGAGTGAGCGAGCAGCGCGGCTCTTCCTGCTTGCCAGCACGCCTGTGGACCAGTTAGACCTCAAACACCTCGCTGGGGCTGCTGGTGGTAAAGGCTGCAAGGGCAAGGGCAAGCTGTGACTGGGTGGCGGTGGGTGGTGATGCTGCAGCAGAGGGCAGCGCGGCTCTTCCTGCTCGCCAGCACGCCTCTAGACCAGTTAGACCCCAAACACCTCGCTAGAGGTGCTGCTGCTGGCAAGGGGCGCAAGGGCAAGGGCAAGCTGTGACTGGGAGGGAGGGCAGCGCGGCTCTTCCTGCTCGTCTCGCCAGCACGCCTGTGGACCAGTTAGATCCCAACCACCTGGCTGGAGGGGTTGCTGGTGGTGCTGGCAAGGGGCGCAAGGGCAAGGGCAATGGCAAAGGCAAGCAGTGACTGGCAGTGTTGTGTTGGTGGTTGCTGGAAGCGTGTGGTGACCTTCTGTAGATAGCTATTGCTGGCAGTGCCTGCCAGGCCGGTGTGCTTCTGGTTGGTGCCTCTGATTGTTGTGGCAGACAGTGGTGGGAACATCCTTGCCTGCCCACATGGCCATTCCCCTGCTTTTTATTTTTGCCTGCAGTGCTTTCCGTTCAGCTCGTGTTTGTGGGCTCCTTTTTGTTGCTGCCTGTTTCAGCTTCACACTGCACAGCTTCCAAAGCTACACTTGTATATTTTGATTTCCAATACATTTTCTATTCATTAACACCAAACACTATGAAGGTTTCATGTCCTGAACTGTCTTACGCTGTGCTGCACTGGTAACCTATAGTGTGCTGCACTGCAGTGCACTGTAACATACTGTACTGTATTGTGCCACTTACGCGGCATTAACAAAATTCAAACGCATGCCCAACTGCAAGGAGGGTGGCCTCCAAGCGTATCCCGCAGGCTGGGAGGGGAGAGGCTCGGCGGCTGGTGAGGGAGAGGCTAAACCTGAGCAGTTGGATAGAGGAGTCCCTCAGGAGTGTGTGTGCTAGCGCAATACACGAGTTGCTCTATTAGACTGCAGGGGCATTGAAGACGGGGGGGAGAGGAGAGAGGAATGGGGTTGTTGAGAGAGTTTTACTGTTACATGTACGGCAAGGCACACAACACAAACCCATGGCAGATGGCACATGGCACATGGAACATGGCCAATGGCACTATGGTACATGGCGCATGGCGCATGGTGCATGGCGCATGGTGCATGGGCGCTGACCTTCTTGCAGTACTTGGCTCGGATCTTGATGGCGAGGTGCACGCACGATGCCACATCCAACACCAGCTCCACATCGTTGAACATCTGGGGGTGCATGAGCGGTGGGGTTGGGGGGCAGTAGAGGAGAGGGAAACGCAGAGGAGCAGTAATAAGGGAGAGTGCAGTGCGGATGCACACACAAAGCCACATCCAGCACCCACCAGGTCCACATCGTTGAACATTTGAAACGAGCAAGGCACATGGTGGAGTGGAGCAATGTCAATGCTGGAACACAGTGGGAGTGGCGGGAGTTTGGGGTTTAGAGCGAGCTGCAGGTGAGACCAGAGAAATGTCGGTGGGTGCCTAAATGGCTTGGCCGGAGCGTGCAACCTGCAAGTCCTATTTCTGAGGCTCCAAATGCCAAGACCCACCTTAATGGCTTCATCTGAGCCTTCCACTTGCAGCAGTCTCTTCCTGTTGGCTCTCAGAATGGCCGACACACAGAACACTGCCAAGTCCTCATCCCCCACCCGCGCCTCCCCCCACCGCGACATCCCCCTCCCCCCCGCCCCCTCTGCTCCCCCCACTCCCCCCATGCCTCCCCCCATGCTCCCCCCCTTGCGCCCAGACCGCTTCCCCAGCCCCAGGGCGAGCACCGGGGGGAGGGACGGGGGGATGGGGGGCATGGCGGGGAAGGGGGAGGGGTCCGGGTGGGTCGGGGGGAGGGAGGAGTGCGCGGGGTGTGTGGGGGAGGGGTCAGGGGCGGAGGAGGGGGGCTGGAGAGGGGGCAGGCCTGCCGACCAGGTGAGGGGCTCGGCTGCCAGGGAGAGGCCTTCGGGGGGATGGTGCAGCAGCACTGCTGCCATGCGCGGATCATAGTCCGCTGCCCACATCATCTGGGGGAGTGGAAGGGGGGGAACAGGGGACAGGAGACAGGGGATAGAGGGTAAGGAGTCTGTGTTTGAGGCGCCTCAACAACAGATGCAGCAATGAGGGAGGCCTTCGGGGGGATGGTGCAGCAGCAGTGCTGCCATGCGCGGATTGTAGTCCGCTGCCCACATCATCTGAATTGGAAGGGGTCGACAGGAGCCCACAGGGGAGCACGGGCAGGGAGGGAGCAAAAACAACAGGTCAACAGAGTCGAGGAATCAGCAGAGCCCATGTTCTCATACGATTAGAAAACACGACACGTGTGAACGCTCCTCCCACATGACGATGATATCCAAGAGGGGAAGCTCTCGCCTAAAGAGCACGAGCAGCATGCGGAAGGCAAACATAAAGTTGTCGGCGCCCAGCTCCTCCAGGTGCGGGAAGAGAGGCAATACCCACCCACCCACCTCCCCCCCAACCCGCCCTTCCATTCAACGCACCTCCCACATCACGATAACATCTAAGAGAGGCAGCTCCCTCCTAAACAGCACGAGCAGCATGCGGAAGGCGAACATGAAGTTATCGGCGCCCAGCTCCTCCAGGTGCCCCGCCAGCTCGGGGTCCACCAGCGCCACCACGTCCCGGAGGACAGCTAGCTGCCGCAGGATGCCCACCGGACCCTCTGTCAGGAAGTTGTGTCGCTGCAGGGGGGAGGGAGGCAGAGGAAGGGACGACGGTTGGGAGGGGGGCGGGGAAAGGCAAACTCTAGCTCGGGGTCCACCAGCGCAAACCGGGAAACCGGGATACCGGGAAACCGGGAAACCGGGAAACCGGGAAACAGGGAAACCGGGAAACAGGGAAACCGGGAAACCGGGAAACCGGGAAACCGGGAAACCGGGAAACCGGGAAACCGGGATACCGGGATACCGGGATACCGGGATACCGGGATACCGGGATACCGGGATACCGGGATACCGGGATACCGGGATACCGGGATACCGGGATACCGGGAAACCGGGATACCGGGATACCGGGATACCGGGAAACCGGGATACCGGGATACCGGGATACCGGGATACCGGGATACCGGGATACCGGGATACCGGGATACCGGGATACCGGGATACCGGGATACCGGGATACCGGGATACCGGGATACCGGGATACCGGGATACCGGGATACCGGGAAACCGGGAAACCGGGAAACCGGGAAACCGGGAAACCGGGATACCGGGATACCGGGAAACCGGGATACCGGGATACCGGGAAACCGGGATACCGGGAAACCGGGATACCGGGAAACCGGGAAACCGGGAAACCGGGATACCGGGAAACCGGGAAACCGGGAAATTGGTACCAGTACAAATGCACCCATCCATAAAGTGAGGAGATGTGAGCAGATGAGAGAAGGGGAAGGTTGAGGGAGCAGAGACAAACGGGAAGAGAGCGACTCACGATTCTGGAGAAGAGGCTTTCGAAGCACCAGAAGGCGTCGGCGGGGTGCGGGAAGAGAATGATGAATGGCGATAGCAGGTCGCACATGCCTGCACGCATGCACGGTGGAGGGGCAGCAGGAGGGCGTGAAGTGATTGCACATGGTGGCAGAGGAGAGATGCAAGCAAAGAGTAAGCACTCGGGCATGGAGCAAGGAGCAGTGAAGAAGGGCGAGGGCAGAGAAGGTCACACTGCACGCAGCGTGGAGGGGCAGCAGCGGGGCACATGTGCCGTGCGGTGGGGTGGGGCACAACATGTGGTACACTGGCACCACACAGCCCACCTTGGCAGCGGCACAGCAGCCCACCAGGCGTGCACGAGTGTTCAGGTGACACCTTGGCTAGTGTTCCCCTGTGTGCTATCAGACGCAAACGCTCTACCACACCATACCTTAGGCAAACGGCCCACCTTGACAGAAGCCAGTAGCGGGGTCGATCCACTCGTGCACGGCGAGAATGCCGCTCATGGCTGCCAGGTTGAGCTAGCCTTACTTGCCAGCGGCACCACACTCACACTCACGCTCACCTTGGCAGAATCCGGTGGCAGGGTCGATCCAGGGATGCACTGCGAGAATGTCGCTCATGGCCGCCAGGTGGAGCTAATGTTACTTGGCAGTGGCATCACAGCCCACCTTGACAGAGAGCGATATTCCCTTGTGCTTTCAGGGCCAGCGGTATCAAAGCGCACCTTGGCAGAAGCCAGTAGCGGGGTCGATCCAAGCATGCACGGCCAGGATATCGCTCATGGCTGCCAGGTTGCTGCGATCCGCGTAGAACGCCATGTGGCGATCCGTGCGCTCCACATCCACGGCTGAAGTGGGGGAGGGGGGGGGAACGGAAGGGGCAGGGGTGGGGGCGGAGATGGAAGGGTTGAAGAGCAATTGGGTATAAGAGAGAGGAAGCTGGGTGTGAGGAGAGCACCAGGTTGCTGCGATCCGCGTAGAACGCCATGTGCCTGTCCGTGCGCTCCACATCCACGGCTGAGAGGGAGGGAAGGAGAGAGGAGAGAGGAGAGAGGAAAAAGAGGGCTCTAAGAGGGTTGTAAGATAAAAATGTGGCTCACATATCGTACGCCACTCACATATCACATAGTGGGGAAGGGCGGGTGAGAAAGGTCTCACATATCTTGTGCAGCGTCCACAGCCACTCCGCCACCCTCTCAGGAGTCACCCCCAATTGCTCTGCCACCACTGGATCCACCGTCAACCGCGCATCCCCCTCCTCCTCCTCCTCCTCCTCCTCCCCCACCTCCCCCTCCCCACCTCCCTCCTCCTTCCTTCCCGCCCCCTCCCCCGCGTCCCCATCGCCATCACCTCTCTCATCACCCGCACCATCACCCTCACCATGGCCAGCATCACCACTATCGCCCCCGCCCCCACCGCCAGCATCAGCATCATCACCATCGTCATGGCCCAGGATCCACGACCACACCTGCTCCGCGGTGGGGTGAGGGGAAGAGGGGGGGGAAGGGGAGGGAGCAGGATGGAGAAGAAAGCATAGGTGAGGGGGCAGGGGGAGTAGAGCCACCAGCATCGGCATCATTATCACCACCATCATTATCACCATCATCATCATCATCATCATCATCATCATCATCATCATCATCATCATCATCATCATCATCATCATCATCATCATCATCATCATCATCATCATCATCATCATCATCATCATCATCATCATCATCATCATCATCATCATCATCATCATCATCATCATCATCATCATCATCATCATCATCATCATCATCATCATCATCATCATCATCATCATCATCATCATCATCATCATCATCATCACCACCACCACCACCACCACCACCACCATGAGCATCATTGCCATCATCATGGCCCAGCCAGGATCCACGGCCACACCTGCTCAGCGGTGGGGTTGCGGCCGTTGAACGACCGCTGCCGCACATACGCCTGCAGGATGCTCCCCCCCTTCCGCTCCCCCCCTGACCCCTCACTCCCCTCGCTCCTCCCGCTCATCTCACTCCTCGCGCTGCCCACAAACGGGCCAGCCTTCTCCGCCCCTTCCCTTCCTCCTCCTCCTCCTCCTGCTAATTCTCTCTTTCGCCCGCCCTCACCCTCAGCATTGAGTGCTCTGCCCATAGCACACGGCCCTTCCTCTTCCCCCTCTTCCCCCTCCTCCTCTTCTTCCGCTCCTAACCGCACAGCCCCCTCACGCCCCTCGTCCTCTTTCATCGTCTCCTCTCTCTTCGACTCCTCCCCTCGCCGTTCTCTACTCTCTGCCTCACCACCGTCTGCCTCTCTTGCTGCTGCACCCACTGCTCCTTCACGGAAGCTCGCCCCTCCACCCACGAAACTGAGGCCCCAGCCATCCCCAGAAGCTGCTGCTGATTGCCCTCCGCGCTCCGCCCCTCCCCCAGTCCTCGCTCTTTCCGCCTCGCCTCTCCACTCCCCCTCCTCTCTCTCCTCGTCCTCCTCTTCCTCCTCTACCTCCCACTTTGCCTCTCTCCGCCCCGACCCCCCAATCCGCTGCCCCCTGCCCTCCTGCACCCCACCCTCCCCTGCAACTGCCCCACGCCCCTCCCACTCTGCTGCCCCCACTACTTGCCACTCCCCCTCCTCCCTCTCGCCCTCCTCCCCCTCCCCTTCCACTCTCTCTGAAACACTCCCCAACTCACTTGCCCCCCCTTCCTTTCCCCGCCGCCTCTCTCCCCACCCAACCCCAGCACCACCAGTGTTCGCACTGCCACCATCCCCAACACTACCCATCCTATTCCCTTTTGGAATCCCAGCAGCGCTTGCTATTCTGCCACTGCCACTGCCAGCGCTACCAGTGCTGAGAGTGTTATCAGTGTCGGCAGTGGCAGTGGTAGTGTTAGCAGGGCTCGCAGTGGTGGTAGTGGCAGAGGTGGCAGAGGAGTGGGAGGGGTTGCGAATAGACGCAAGCAAATCATCTACAGAGACACCCCCCCAGTCCGCACTAAGAACCTTCTTCAGCCGGTTTCCTCCCGCCATCAAACCCCTCTGTATCCCCCCCATCCCCCCTCCCAGCCCCCCCAGTCCCCCCCCTCCTGCTCCCGTTCCCACTCCCGCTCTCCCCACACCCACACCCCCCGCACCCCCCCCACCCGCCACTTCCCGCGCTGCTCCCCCCGCCCTCCCCCTCCCCTCGCCCCCCTCGCCCCCGTCCCCGCTTTCCCCGTGCCCCTCTTCCCCCCCTGCGCTCTCCCCTGCGCCCAAGTACCCGCGCAGCTTCTTATGCGCCTTCTTAACACTCTTCACTCCCCTCTGCCAGGGCCCCTTGCCCTCTCCCCCTGCTCCCCCGCCCATCCCCCCTTCCCCTCCGCCTCCTCCCCCCACAGAACCCTCCTCCTCCGCAGCTATCCCCCCGCCCTCCTCTTCTTCCTCTGCCTCCCCTCCTTGCTCTATAACGAGGACGTCTGGGTCCAGCAGGGCGTTGCCACTAGCGGATCCAACCCCTGCCAGCACCCGACTCTTCCCCTCCTTGCCCTCCCTCCCCTCTCTCGCCTCCTTTACCTCCTTCCCTTCCTTCCCCTCCTTCCCCTCCTTCCCCTTGCCTGGCAGCAGTCTCGTCCATTTTTTCTTCCCCTTGCGCCGCTGCCCCTCCCCGCCCACCCCATCGTCTGTGCCGCCCCCCTCCCCTTCCTCCCCAACTGCTGCTGCTGCACCAGGCCAAATCGCTGCATCTGCCCCCGCTGCGCCATCTGCAATTCCAGCACCATCAGCACCATCAGCACCATCAGCACCAGCAGCACTGGCTGTGCCATCAGCACCGGCTGAACCACCAGCACCTCCTGCGCTCTCACACTCCCCTGACGTTCTGCCTGTGCCTGTGCCTGTGCTGCCTAACTGTGAGCCCTCCGCACTAGCAGAGGGGCCAGGGAGGGGGTCGTCAGTGCGAGCACTGCGGGCGCGAGTGAGAGGCGCCTCTGCACCCACCGCCGCTCCTACTGCCCCCCCTCGCCCCGTCAGCAGCCCCACATCAGTGCTGCGCGTGCGCTGAGACCTGCTGCTGCTATCCCGCATTCCCACTGCTCCTCCTCCCACTGCTCCTCCTCCTCCTCCTACCCCTGCCCCGCCAATCCCATCTCCAGGCCTCCCTGCTCCCCCTCCTCTGCCGCTGCCGCCGCCGCTGGCCCTGGCATGCGGGGGGTGTGAGTGGTCCACTCTTTCATAGCGCCTCTGCCTCTCCCGCGCCCACTTCGCCCTCATCTCCTCCATTCCGCCCTTCCTCTCCTTCCCTCCCGCCCCCTCACCTCCCCCTCCCCATCCTCCGCCCTCCGCCCCTTTCCTCCCCTTCGCCTTCCTCTTTTCGTGCCCCATGCTCACAACCCCTTCCACTTCCTTCTCCCCATCCTCCCCCTCCTCTCCCTCCCCATCCTCCTCCTCCCCCTCCCCTTCCTCCTCTTCCTCATCCTCCTCCTCCTCCTCGTCCTCCTCACCCCCACCACCGAGCAGCGCGCGCGGGTCGTCAAGGTCAAGGTCAAGGGGGAAGGAGAAGGAAGACGAGTGCAGGCGAGGCCCGCCCTCCTCCATCAGCTGCTCCATGCGGAACGCCGGGTTGCTGCCACTGCCTGCGCTCTTATCCGAGAACTGCCGCGGGAACTTGTCTGCTGCTGAGCTGGAGGAGCCGCTGCGTGGCCGCGGCAGCACAATGCTGCCGCTGCTGGTGGTGCCGGTGCCACCGCTGTTGCTGGTGGTGATGGTGGTGGTGGGAGTGGGAGTGGGGGTGCTGGTGAAGGAGCTGGTAACGCCGCTGCTGCTGCTGATGGCTGCGGTGGAGGGATTGGAAATTCTGCCGCTGCTGCTGCCGCTACCCGGTCTGCTAATGCTGCTGCTCGTGCTGCTAGCCGGAATGCCCGTGCTGCTGCTGCTAACAGTGGTGGTGCTTGTGGTGGTGGTGGTGGTGGTGGTAGTTGTGGTGGTGTTACCAGCAGCTACAGTCACCATCGTTGTTGTCACGCTGCTCTGCCTGAAGCTGCCCTCTTCTACCCCCCTGCCACTGCCCCTCACACTGCCATCCCTCCCACTGCCATCCACACTACTGCCAGAAGCACCAGCACCACCACCAGCAGCAGTGGCAGCAGAAGGAGCGGTAGAATCTGCAGCGGCGGCGGCGGCAGGGGAGGAGGCGGCGTGGGCGGAGAGGATGCGGACGTCCATGATGCGCGAGCCCACGGGGAAGGCCAGCTGCCCCGTGCCCACGCGCCCGTGCATTCGCGCACACTGCTGCACCAGCTGTGCGTACCGCTCACTGGGAAGCATTCAGAATGGTGGGGGGCAGCAGGGAGGACGTGCGAAAGGGAGGAAAGGGGGAGTGGTCTCTTGAGTGTGTGACGGCGTGCAGCAGGGACGGCGTGCAGCAGGGACGGCGTGCAGCAGGGAGGGAAGGCGGCGGTCAGGTCATGACTTGGGTGTGTGGGGAGTTGCAGAGAGAGGCAGAGGAGGACATGGTCTGCCCGGTTGAACCCTGGGAGCTGCGTGCATGCACCATCTTCTCCTAAGTGCGTACGTGTGGTGTGGGGCAGGGCAGCATAGCACCCACCGACGGGCGGCAGTGACTCACCGGCGGGCGGCGCGCACGTAGTTGCGCTCTTCAGCAGTGGAGTCGAGGGAGAAGCACCCCAGCAAAAACTCCCACACCTCTCCCCGAATGGACCGATCCACCCCCTGCACGTCCCACGCACACATGCACCATGCACGTGTCATCCACACGCCAGACACACGCCAGACACACGCCAGACACACGCAAGACACACTCCAGGCAGCATCACCCATGCACGCACCAGGCACACAGTGAGGAGAGGATGCGGGAAATCTACACAAAGCCCAGAAATCCACATCACATCAGGGGCGTACAGATGCGCCCCACGTCATTTCGAAGCGCTTGGAAAAACACCCCCCCCTGTCCTAACCGCTCGCTCCCCCGGTCCCCCTCTCCAACCTCTCCATTCTCACCCCGTCCAGCACGGCGCGCAGCACGGCGGGCATGCGCACGAGACGCCCCTCCGCGTCGAACGCCGCTCGCCACGCGCGCGGCTTCAGACGCCGCGCCCGCCCCGCCTGCATAGGGGCACGAGTGGCGGGGAGAGGACGGGGGGAGGGTGGGTGGAGAGAGGCGCAGGCGCGGGGAAGAGAGACGCGGAGAAGAGAGGCGCGGGGGGAGACAGGCGCCGAGGGGAGAGGCGCGGGGGAGAGAGGAGCGGAAAGAGCGGTGGGGGGGAGAGGTGCGGGAATGTGATGCGTCGCGGAGGCGAAGGCAATGGCGGGAAGAGGGGGAGAATGGGAAAGGGGTCAGTTGAGGGGGAAGGAGGACGGGGTGTGGGGGGAAGGAGGACGGGGTGTGGGGGGAAGGAGGACGGGGTGTGGGGGGAAGGAGGACGGGGTGTGGGGGAAGGAGGACGGGGTGTGGGGGAAAGGAGGAAAGCGTCAGGGTTCGCATATACGAGGCTCGAGGCGCGGCGTGGCGCGCAGCGCTCACCTGCGCGGTCCACGGCGCGCCGTGCTGCTGCTGGCGCGCGTCCGCGGAGATCCAGCTGCCATCCTTCATGCTCGTCGGCGGCTTCTCCGCGCGCCCATGGCTGCGCCCCTCGCCGCCCGACTTCTCCGCGCGCCCGAGCACCTTCCCCTCGCCACCTGGCTTCTCCGCGCGTCCCCCAAGCCCCTTTATCTCGCCCCCGTGACCTTGGCCGTGCGACGATGGCTGGCGAAACGCCATCGAACGGCGCTGCTAACAGCGAAAAGCTTCGCAGATGTAACTATCAATGCGACTCGCATGGGTGTTTTCCTGCTCCCGCGTGCAGCGGTCCCGCGATGACTCGGAACGAAAATGCGACGAGCGAGCGACAATGTGCGACTCGGAACTGAAATGCGAGGACTAGCACTGCATCTGCCGGGTAGGGTGCATGACATGCCTACATTACAGCGACGGACCTAAGCGCAGGCCACATTGCATCACGCGTTGCAGTAAGCGATGCGCGCTGCGAGTGTACGGCCCCGCGGGTAACAATGCTCGAATATCAAACGACTACTTGGCATGCTGAATCAGCAGAAGCAGTAAGAAACCACGAGGGGCGCCTAATCCAATGAATGTGCTACACGTGTTCGTTCGAACGCTACTCTGTTGACCTGTAAAGCCTCGAAAGGCGACTCGAGTTACGAGACCTGTCAAGTTGATTTTTATCACGCAAAGAAAGCATGCCCTGTTTGTAACGAGAAGTTTCTACGTTTATTCGCTTATGCTCGCCGCAGAAAACTGACTGAAACAGAAACGCCTGCTGACTGAGTTGATAAGACTAGGACCAGTGCTAGAGCACGGAGAAGAGAAAAATGAGCAGCAGTGCTCTGGCGCCCGCGTGCGTACGGAACGGACGGACAGACAGACAGAACTGGTGGAAAGGCACGGCACGGCGAGTGAGAGATGAATCATTCAAGTAGGGCAGCAGAGGGAACGCACAGTTGCTGCTGCAGCACCCATGTGGGGGGGAGGAGGAAGGACTGTGCGATTGAGCGGGACTGCACAGGACAAACCAGGTTGGTTGGTGGTGGTGTCTGTTGGCGGGTGCTGCACTTCATCTACCTTACCAGATATTGATTATCAAATTCCATTATTGATTTATTCAGTGTCTACAAGACCTTGTGGGACTTTTTTGGATGCATCTGCAGAAAAGAACAATCAAGAGTCCAAAAGATTTCTCTAGAATCTCTGCATATCTATGTTATTTTTCCTAAGAATAGTCCAAACAATGTTTGCATCCTGCTCAGTTTTAATATGTGAATAGTTAATTATAGAAGAGGGGTCTCAAAAGGAGATAAATGGATAACAAACCATCCCTTTTCCATGTTGTATTTCTTAAATCTCCCGTTCCCATCTCTGTCTCCATCCCCAAGTCTCCTGCCTCTCATTCCCCATCTTTGAACTTCTTCGTTCTATAGTATTAGGATAAGTGCAGGTAGCGAAGACCCTTAAAAGTAATCATTCCTGAAGGCATCCCCCAAGACGTCGAACACCTGAGCACAGATTCACCTGATGATACGCAGATCGTCGACCGTAGATGACAGACCCCCTGTAAGTGTCTACACACATACGTATATAATCCTGTCGGATGCTGGTGACCGATCGGCATTATCGGCCCGTGCTTTTCTTGCTGCAAGTGAACGCTGAAACCAAACCCGTTTCTCGGCGGGCCCTGCGAGTGAAACGAGCTTCGAAGTCGCGGCGTCGGCGCGATGCTGGTGGATCTGAACGCGTTCGCGGACGAGCACTTCGACCCCAAGGCGTGGGTCAACGATGCGTGCGCCGCGCTCCCGCCGGAGGAACCTCCGGAGAAGTTTTTCGCGGACATTGAAATGAAGCTGCAGCTCTTATCGGGTACGATTATCTTGGCAATGGTCATGGAATCCGTCAATGACTGAGTACCATGTGGTAGCCGTGCGTCAGTCAGTCTACAACCGTGGAGTAGGTCCCATGGTCCGTCCCAGTCACCAACGCCTTGACACATTTGTATGTGCTACGTGTGTGCTGCTTGTGCGCTGTGTGTGTACTGCGTGTGTTCCGCGTGTGCGACACGCGTGCAGAGGACATGAGCGGCGCGTTGGAGGAGCAGAGCGCGGGCGCGCTGCTGAGGGTGCCGCGCGCCGTGAGGGAGACGAAGCGCGTGCGCGACGACGCCGTGTCGCTCAAAGGCACCGTCGCCAGCATCCTGCAGCGGCTGCAGCAGGTGGAGGCCACGTCAGCAGCGTCAGTTGCGGTGCTGGCGAAGGTTGATGCAGTGAAGCAGCAGATGGAAGCGGCGAGAGACACGCTCCAGGTGAGCAGAAAGTCCTTACCCCGATTATGAAACCAAAGAAACCAACGTTCTAGCTGCCCATTCCGTTCCATCGTCCCTCTCCACCATCCCTCCCGTCCCTTAATCACGGTCGCCTTGGCTCCCTTTCCGCTTCCCCCTTCCCTTCCCCCATCCCCTTCACCCTTCCCCTTTCCCCTCTCCATTTCCCGCTTCCCCCCTCTCCACTCCCCCCCTGTCCTTTCCTCCCTCCCCTCCCCATCCCCTCTCTTACCCACAGTACGCGGCGGGGCTGGCGCAGCTGAGCGCGTCAGTGGAGCAGGTGTTCGCCAGTGGCGACCTGCCACGTGTCGCTGAGACATTGGCCAACATGCGGCGCTGCCTGGAGGTGGTGGGCGATGTGAGTCTCCCGCGCTTCCGCTTGCCCTTGTGCCCCCGTACCCTTTACCCCATGCCCCATGTCTTGTAACCCATGCGGCATTCCCCTTGCCTCTATGCTTCATGCAACTTAATCCATGCCCCTTGCTCCATGCCCCATGCTTCATGCCCCATGCTCCATGCCTCATGCTTCACGCCCCATGCTCCATACCACATGTTCCATGCCCCATGCCCCATATCCATGCTGCTTGTTGCCTGGAATCTGTTGCTCCTCCACCTCTTCCCCTCTTCCATGCACCAATGTAGGCATCCCTGCCTCTACCCTCTCCTACCGCACTCAACCCCAACCCTTACTCTCCAGTAATGCCTCGCCCACTAAGTCCACCGCTCTCCTTGTCCCCCGTCCCTCTCTGACCCTGCCCGTCATTCTCTGTCATCTCGATCATCTTTCAGGCACCGGAGTTTGCGGCGAACAAGAGGCAGTTACAGTCGCTGGAGGACCGCCTGGAGCAGATGGTGCACTGCAGCTGCCTCCCTCACATCCCCCTGTCATCCTCTCTGCCCTCCCCTCTGTCCTCTCCCCCTCCATCGGCCATCAGGCGCCGGAGTTCGCAGCGAACAAGAGGCAGCTGCAGTCGCTGGAGGACAGGTTGGAACAGATGGTGCAGCCGCGGCTGTCAGACGCGCTCACTCACAGCAAGGTGGGGTGATCCCCGGAAATGGATGATGGGTAATCACTATGAGCACTGCTAAGGCCCGCGCACTCCATGCTTGAAGCACCTTGAATGGCTCACTCATCCCTATCAGTCCCTCTTTCACTCCCTATGAAAGTCTTACCCCTCCGTTCTGCCACTTCTGAAGCACCAAGAAGCCAGCTGCTTCGCCCCCGTCCTAGTACCCTCAAACCTTATTTTCTCTGCGATGGTACGCCCATCGTCGCCCCACCTGCCGCTCCCAGCTCAGCCTCTGCCCTATCGTGTGTGGCCCCACGCCAGCTGGAGGCGTGTGACTCGCTCACAGCCATGGCCACCATGGGATGTTGTGCAGTGCGGTGCGGTACCATGGGTTACCATGGAGTGCCATGTGGTGCCATGTGGTGCCGTGCGTGTCGCTCGTTGACGGCCTGCATCTCAATCCTGCACCTCAAACCTGCACCTCAAACCTGCACCTCAAACCTGCACCTCAAACCTGCACCTCAAACCTGCACCTCAAACCTGCACCTCAAACCTGCACCTCAAACCTGCACCTCAAACCTGCACCTCAAACCTGCACCTCAAACCTGCACCTCAAACCTGCACCTCAAACCTGCACCTCAAACCTGCACCTCAAACCTGCACCTCAAACCTGCACCTCAAACCTGCACCTCAAACCTGCACCTCAAACCTGCACCTCAAACCTGCACCTCAAACCTGCACCTCAAACCTGCACCTCAAACCTGCACCTCAAACCTGCACCTCAAACCTGCACCTCAAACCTGCACCTCAAACCTGCACCTCAAACCTGCACCTCAAACCTGCACCTCAAACCTGCACCTCAAACCTGCACCTCAAACCTGCACCTCAAACCTGCACCTCAAACCTGCACCTCAAACCTGCACCTCAAACCTGCACCTCAAACCTGCACCTCAAACCTGCACCTCAAACCTGCACCTCAAACCTGCACCTCAAACCTGCACCTCAAACCTGCACCTCAAACCTGCACCTCAAACCTGCACCTCAAACCTGCACCTCAAACCTGCACCTCAAACCTGCACCTCAAACCTGCACCTCAAACCTGCACCTCAAACCTGCACCTCAAACCTGCACCTCAAACCTGCACCTCAAACCTGCACCTCAAACCTGCACCTCAAACCTGCACCTCAAACCTGCACCTCAAACCTGCACCTCAAACCTGCACGTCAAACCTGCACGTCAAACCTGCACCTCAAGCCTGCACCTCAAGCCTGCACCTCCAACCTGCACCTCCAACCTGCACCTCAAACATGCACCTCAAACCTGCACCTCAAACCTGCACCTCAAACCTGCACCTCAAACCTGCACCTCAAACCTGCACCTCAAACCTGCACCTCAAACCTGCACCTCAAACCTGCACCTCAAACCTGCACCTCAAACCTGCACCTCAAACCTGCACCTCAAACCTGCACCTCAAACCTGCACCTCAAACCTGCACCTCAAACCTGCACCTCAAACCTGCACCTCAAACCTGCACCTCAAACCTGCACCTCAAACCTGCACCTCAAACCTGCACCTCAAACCTGCACCTCAAACCTGCACCTCAAACCTGCACCTCAAACCTGCACCTCAAACCTGCACCTCAAACCTGCACCTCAAACCTGCACCTCAAACCTGCACCTCAAACCTGCACCTCAAACCTGCACCTCAAACCTGCACCTCAAACCTGCACCTCAAACCTGCACCTCAAACCTGCACGTCAAACCTGCACGTCAAACCTGCACCTCCAACCTGCACGCCTCGTGCGCTGCCCTGTTAGCCGTCAACTCAAGGACCTTTCTCTTCCATCCACCCCACCTACCCGCACCAGTTGGACGCGTGTCGCTCACTGACAGGCAACTTGGCAGCCATAGGGCGGCAGCACACAGTGGAGGCGCTCTTGTGCCTCGTGCGCTGCCGTGTGGTGGGCTGTTAACACTCAAACATCTCTCTCCCCCACACCCTTTCCCCTCATTCACATGCCAGCTGGACGCATGCCGCTCGCTGACAGGCATCCTGGCAGCAATAGGCCGGCAGCACACAGTGGAAGCGCTCTTCTGCCTCGTGCGCTGCCGCCCTCACACGCCTGTGGGAACAGTTCGAGGTCACTGCTGTTGCGCCAGGCGCAGGTAGGGGGGAATGGAGGGGCGGAGAGGCAGAGGGATTGGAATGGCAGTGATCCTTTAGTTCAAGTTGTGAGGTGAAAGCAGCCGCCCGCTCACACGCCTGTGGCAGCAGATTTGAGGTCACTGCTGTTGCTCCGGGAGCAGGTGGGGGGAAAGCAACGGTGTAGGGAGATGATGCATACGCTAAGGTTGTAAAGTGAGGGCTGTCGTGCAAACCATCCCTTTCGTCCCCCTCTTCCCCTTTCCCTCCATCCCACACTCACCTCCTCTCCTCTTCCCCACACATTCATACCCTCACCAATCCCCCTCCTCCCCCTCTCCTGCCCCCTCACGCTTCCTGCTCCCCAGGCCCATTAGCAGCAGCGTTACAGTTCCCCGAGTGGTTACCGCGTTGGTACGATGAGATGCTTCTAGCAGTGGAGCAGGAGGCGCGCTGGTGTGTGGCAGCCGCAACTCATACCTCTTTCTTCCCCCTCTCCCTGGCCGTTCTCTCCCCCCCACAGGCCCATTAGCAGCAGCGTTACAGTTCCCCGAGTGGTTACCGCGCTGGTACGATGAGATGCTGCTGGCAGTGGAGCAGGAGGCGCGCTGGTGCGTGGCAGCCTTCTCCCACCACGCCTCCCCCCTGCTGCTGCGCCTGCTCACAGCCACATGGGACGGGCTCTCTTCCAGCTTCACTGCCCGCGTGGATGCTGCTGTCTCTGACGCTGCGCTCGCTGCTCTTGCTAGTGCTGCTGCAAGCGAATCAGGTAGGAAGGGGAGCCTGTCTGCTGCTACGCCTGCTCACCGCACAGCCACGTGGGCGGGCTCTCTTCCAGCTCGCCCTACGTGCCACCACCACCACCTTCGCCCGCTTCCTTTTCTCTGAACCACCCCCGTGCCCTCCTTGTTTCTTATGTTCTGTTGTGCCGTCCCTCCCCTGCCCTGCCCCGCCCTGCAGCCTCTCAATCGCGCCCGTCCACCCGCCTGGCTCTGCTGCTCGCCCTGCACGCCACCACCACCACCTTCGCCCGCAACCTCTCCCGCCTCCTCGCCTCCCTTCCTTCCTCCGCCACCGCTGATGCCACTAAACCATCTCCTTCTGAGAAAAACACACAAGGAGCCGCCGCAGCAGCAGCAGGAGTAGGAGGAGGGACAGGAGGAGCGGCAGGAGGAGCGGCAGGAGGAGGGGAGAAGGCCAGCAAGAGTAAGGGCAGGGGGGAGCAGGAGGGGGAGCAGGAGGGGGAGCAGGAGGGGGAGCAGGAGGGGGAGCAGGAGGGGGAGCAGGAGGGGGAGCAGGAGGGGGAGCAGGAGGGGGAGCAGGAGGGGGAGCAGGAGGGGGAGCAGGAGGGGGAGCAGGAGGGGGAGCAGGAGGGGGAGGCCCAGTGAGTGTGAGCGCGGTGGTGTGGGCGGTGTTCCGGCCCTTATAGCCGTTCAAGCAGCGCTACGGGGACTATGAGCGCGCACAGCTGGCGGCGGATCTGGGCGGCATAGATCTCCGACCGGGCGGCGCAGTGAAGCAAGTGGGGCAGCGTGGACTCGTGCTGGCAGATGCTGTGCGGCGCATGGAGGTGAGAGGCGGTGCTGTGCGGTGCATGGGGGTGAGAGGAGTGTTTGAAGGGGCATGGAGGTCATGGCAGCAGAAATGGAAGCAGCAGTGGAGCGCTGTCTCGCCTTCACAGGGGGCTCAGAGGCAGCAGCGCTCCTCACCGCTCTCGACCACTCCATCCTCCTCTTCCTCTCCCGCCTCTCCTCCTGCCTCCAGTCCCTCCCCCCCATCTGCGGCCTCTCCCCTCCTCCTCCTCCCACCCCTGCCTCCTCCACCACTCCTTCCGCTCCAACCCGAGCCTCCGGCCCAGGCTCGGACCGAACCACCAACCCAGTGTCAGACGATCCATTAGCCAGTCTCCCAGAGCCGGCGGGGTACGGTGGATCGGGAGCGGGCGGGGTGGAGGAGGAGGAGGAGTGGGCGGTGGTGCAGGGAGCGGTGCAGCTGCTGATGGTAGCTGAGAGTGTAGCAGTGCGCGTGGCAGTCTTTGAAGCCTCCCTCCGCACTGCCCTCACCCAGCTCTCCCCCCGCCTGGGGCTGAATGCTGGGGGGGATGGCGCGGGGGAAGGGGGCGGGGAGGGTGCGGGCGGGGAGGTGAAGCGGGTGGGGTCGGTGGGTGGCGCAGGGGGAGGGGGAGGCGGAGCGGGAGGGGGAGGGTTAGTGGAGGGGAGTGAGGTGGATGTGGCAGTGCTGAGACTGGCAGAGTATCCCGACAAGGCACAGCGTCTGGCCAGGTATGGGGGTTGACAGGGGAAAGGTGTGGGGTGCAGGTGAGGTGACGGGGAGGGCTAGCGGAAGGGAGAGAGGTGGATGTGGCGGTGCTGAGACTGGCGGGATATCCTGACAAGGCTCAACAGTTGGCCAGGTATGGGTTAATGGATGATGGGGGGGGAAGGTGAGATGCGGGTGGGGGAAGTTGAGGGTAGGGCTAGTGGAGGGGAGTGAGGTGGATGTGGCTAAACTCAATAAGCCCATGCTCGCCCTCCTCCCTGTGCCCCGACCCTCCCCCACCCCCCTCTACCCTTAATGACTGTGCACCCCCCCCAGGCTGCTGGACGAGTTGAGGGACCCGCGCATCCATGCGCTCCCCCGCACGGCGCAGCGCGTGAGAAGCTTCCAGGAAGCGGTGTCGTCGCTGGTGTATGACGTGCTCATCGCCAAGGTGCCATCATCCCTCTGTGCTCTCGCTCGCTGGCTTGCCTTGCCACTCCGCTCACGCTTCCCGCAACCCTCACTGTCCCGGCTACCCGCACTCTCCCCGCTCCCTTCACTTTCTTGCACTCCTCATTCTCCTCACTTTCCTCGCTTTTCTTCCTCTCCTCGACAATCGATTTCTTCCCTGCTGCTGCAACACTCCTCCCTGCACTCCTCTCATCACCTACTTCCCGCTTGCCTCGTTCCCCCTTTTCTTATATCCATCCCCGTGCCTCTCTCACCCCCTCCTTGCAGGTGCGGCGGCAGCTGGCGGGGGTTTCCACAATGCCGGACTGGGCATTGGGCGAGGAGGAGAACGTGTTTGACCTGCCCTCTTTCAACGCATACGCACTACCATACATCACGGCCGTGGGAGAATACCTCCTCACTCTCCCCCAGCAACTCGAGCCTCTCGCCGTCGCCGCCTCCGAAGCTGCCCCGAGCCTGCTCCTGCAAGCCTCGGCAAGCGGTGCTTCGGCAGGCGGGGAATCCGCAACACCAACCGCAGCAGGGGAGGAGGATGCGGGGGCGTATTTCGTCCGGGAGTGGATGACAAAGGTTGCTGACGGCGCGACGTCGCTATTCGTCGAGCAGATCCGAGCAATTCCCGAGGTGTCGGATCGGGGGGCACAGCAGCTTGCAGCAGACATTGAGTATCTCTACAGTGTACTGTCGGTGCTGTATGTGGCTGCATCGCCTGCTATTGCGACCTTCCAAGCGTGCTTTGCCACGCCCAAGGCGAGTCTAGCGGAGTTTATTGCTCAGGAGAGCGGCGTTGGGGGTTCACTGGATGCGACAACTGCTCGCCTGGTTGCCAAGATGAGGCGGGTTGCGCTAGAGTGATAGCTACTCTCAAACGTTTCTGGTAAAACTAGTGTGTTAGTCGTATTTTTGTATCAAATGCAAGTTTGAGGGTGCTATGTTGACCCATCATTCTCATAGAATGTAACACTTGCACCATGGTTATTCCAGCGCATCGTTTCGCCCACTCCAGCACTTTCCTGAAAGTTCCAGGCAGCAGCCAGATTCTCATCCAGCCGAGTTACACCCATCGCAAAACAACCGAGACCAGATTCCGAGCACCATGGATTGCGTGCGAGAACCCCAAGAGACAAATATCTCCAAGCTCATCAGCCAAGCGGCATGTACAAATTCCTTCAAGCCTCGTTTGACAGATCTGTCTAGCACTGCAATATTCGCTCTCCCCGTTCGTTCCCAAGACTAGCAACGTATCTTGCGGATACCAGTACCATCCTTCTCGCTGCACCGCTTGCTTCCTTTACCGCTCCTTGCATCGCGTGTTATCTCGTGCCATCCCTCCGTCATGGCGGCCACAGCATCGCGGGGCTCGTCCCCTTTCTCCCGCTTCGGCGACTCGCAGTCCTTCAACGTCGACGCGCTGAAAAACTTCTCCGCGCTCACCCCCTCGATACAGTCACATCTACAGAAGGTCTACCTCACGCTCTCGCTGACGCTGGTCGTCGCGTCGCTAGGCGCGTACGCGCACGTGCTGTGGGGGCTCGGCGGCGCGCTCTCGTCCATAGCGTCCATCGCGGGGTTCTTTGGCTCAACGCCACGCCCGCCGTTCCCGCTAACGAGGTGCGCGTTACTCATCTATTCTCCTTCCCAGCGCGTTTCCATAACACCTGAGCTCCACAGTGCAAACTCAGCAACAAAGCTGATTCAAGTTCTAGCCGGCTACGCCATTCAGTAGCTTAACCACATATACTATCATCCCTCCCTTTTTTAAACCCCCTGTCCCGTTCGTTTCTAACTCTCCTTCTTTTTTTCCCGTCTCTCCCTTTTTTTCCGCATGCATGCTTGCCCTCGCGAATCTTTCGCCAGTCGTTTCGCTTTCGCCTGCTTCTCGCCATCGCCTTCTCGCACGGCTGCTCCATCGGCCCGCTCGTCGATGCTGTTATTCAAGTCAACCCCGGGTAGGTCCCCGGATATGGCAGCCTTACTAGGTCAACCCTGGGGTAGGAGATAGTTGACTTTAGGCATGACAAGTGCAGGACCTCCCACTGATTAGGTTATTCTTTCCTACTCCGAACCTCTCTCGCCCGCCCCGTTCCTCCCTCCCTGCCCCACTCTCAGCTACTCTCCTCCTACCCGAACACCTTAGCTCTGGCCACCTCTAACCTCTCTTCCCCTCCCCTGCCCCCCTCTCCCGCCCCTCTCCCCAACCCTCCACCAACCAGTTTGCTAGTCACAGCATTCGTAGCAACGGCAGCCATTTTCCTGTGCTTCTCAGGGGCAGCGGTGCTGGCGCGCCGTCGAGAATACCTCTACCTGGGAGCTACTCTCTCTCTACCCGAGCACCTCAGCTCTGCCCACTTCTAACGACTCTTCCCCTCCCCTGCCCCCCTCCCCAACCCTCCACTCCCCAGGCTGCTAGTCACAGCGTTCGTCGCAACAGCAGCCATCTTCCTGTGCTTCTCAGGGGCAGCGCTGCTGGCAAGGCGTCGCGAGTACCTGTACCTGGGGGGCTTCCTCGCCTCTGCCGTCTCCACCATGCTCGCCCTCCGCCTCGCTTCCATCTTCTTCGGCGGCTCTAATGCTGTTTTCCAGATCGAGGTGCGTGTGTGTGTGAGTAATGAGGTCTCTTTGTGTTGGCTCTGTGTATCGGTGGTGTGTGCCGAGAGTATCTTCACCTGGGGGGCTTCCTCGCCTCTGCTCTCTCCACCATGCTCGCCCTCCGCCTCGCCTCTGCTTTCACCCACCTCTCCCTTTCACCCCACGAGCTGTACGGGGGGCTGCTGGTATTCGCGGGCTACATTATATACGATACACAGGTGCTGCTGGAGAGGGCGGTGCGGCTGTTCAGTCGTTCCACACCATCTCACTCCTCTCACCCCGTGTACCTGTCTGCCCCTCTGCCAGCTGTATGGAGGCCTGCTGGTATTCGCGGGCTACATCATTTACGACACCCAGGTGCTGCTGGAGAGGGCGAGGCAGGGCCACTGCGACCACGTGGTGGATGCTCTCGAGCTGCTGCTGGACTTTGTCGCCGTCTTCGTGCGCATCCTCTTCATCCTGGTATGTTTGGGTGACCCCCCGCATTCCATTCTCACCGCATCCCATCGCGCACCACACCCCATCCCCCCCTGCCACTGCGACCACGTGGTAGATGCTCTTTAGCTGTTGCTTTGCTTTGTGGTTGTTTTCGTGCTCATACTCCATGTCAGTCGCTGCATGGGTGTGCATGCCATGCCATCCAGTCATCTCAGCCCGCCCTCCTCGTCAGCACGACGTGTCGTGTCACCTGAGCTGCCTAAATCCAGCACTCAGTGCTGAAGCACACTCACTTGCTCACTCCCACCCCTCTCGTCAACTCATCATCTCTCATGCTATGCTGTGCCGTGCTGTCTTATGCCGTGCCATGTCGTGCTGTGCGTATCCGTTGCCTGCTCTGTGTTGCTACACGTGCTGGGCAGACGAGGAAGGAGGAGAGGGAGGAGGAGCAGCGGGCATCATCCAAGCGCAGGGCTGCTGCCAGCACCTCTCGTCGTTGACTCTTTGTACACGATTGATGCCTTTGCTGTTTAGACTCTTGTCCTTCAGTTGATTCAACACCGCTGTCACTTACCTATAATGGGAGTGCTCCTGTCAATGCCAAACCTGCTGTTAGCTATGTATAAAATGTCTCGTTCTTGTTTTCATGTAGGGAAGCCAAATTGCTGGATGATAGAATTCCTACAGACATCATAACTGGCAGCAGAACCGTTCCAGTCCAGACCAGCTGTAAGACTCTTGTCCCCTCATGCACTACACACTGGCAGCTCCTACCGTCACACACTGGTGAGTCTGTGACAGACTTTTCCTGCCAGCACCACTTAGCGAGTCATGGGTGGGTGTGCCTGCACGGGCCAGCCAAGCCCCCATGCACACGCCCATAGTGCCTCTCCTCCGCCTCGGGTCTTCCAAAACCCGCTGCTGTGGCCTCGAGGACGAGAGGAGGGGCAGGCGGGCGTGTATCAAAGGAAAACGGCACAACAAAAAACAGTCTGGCTAAATTCATATTGCTACACGCAAACGAATCGTATACCCAAGAGCTCTAAGGTGACGCTGCCACTAACGGCAGTGCAGCAAATGCCAGCTCCTGCAGGTCCACATGCTGCTGTTGCCGTTGCCGCTGCTACTGCAACCTGTGACCAACCCACCTAGCACAGGGTGCTGTGCAAGGCAGAACAAGGTAAGGGATAGCGTGGGGCAGGGTAGGAGTAGGAGCGGGAGGTGGAGTGGTGGGGCGTGTGGGGCAAGAGTAATGCGCTGGTAAGTTTGGTAGGATTAGTCCCTGTAGCGGTGGGTGGTAGTATGTGCTTCCTCTCTTCCTCCTCCCTTCCATCCATCTACCCCTCTCCACCACCCACCAGGGAACGTGGGATCATCCTCATCCCTCGCTGACGTGGTGCAGCGCTGGCGCCAACCCATGATCCCGCCCCTGCTAACCACGCTAGACCTAGTGCGCACAGCAGCAGAGGGCGATTGTTGATTCGACTATAAGATTCTCTCATCCACTCCCCCATTCACCAGGCAATGTGGGATCGGCCTCTTCTCTTGCAGATGTGGTGCAGCGCTGGCGCCAACCCATGAGACCGCCCCTACTGACCACGCTAGACCTAGTGCGCGCAGCAGCACAGGGCGGGTATGCGGTGGGCGCGTTCAACGTGTATAACCTGGAAGGGGTGAGGGCTGTGGTGAAGGGAGCAGAAGAGGAGAGGAGCCCAGCTATCATCCAGGTGCGTGCAGGCATCATTCAGGTATCCACGCTGTGGCACTGGTGGGAGGGAGGGGGTGAGGGTGGAGGTGCAGGGAGGGAGCAGAGGGCGGGTATGCAGTGGGCGCGTTCAACGTGTATAACCGGGAGGGGGTGAGGGCCGTGGTGAGGGGAGCAGAGGAGGAGAGAAGCCCAGCCATCATCCAGGTGTGCACGATGTGGCATGGTAGTGGGGGGTGAGGGTGGAGGTGTGGTGGGGGTTAGGTAGCAGAGGGCGGGTATGCGGTGGGGGCATTCAACGTGTATAGCCTGGAAGGGGTGAGGGCCGTGGTGAGGGGCGCAGAAGAAGAGAGGAGTCCGGCCATCATCCAGGTATGCAACATTGCGGTGGGAGGGGGTGAGTGCGGTGGTGCAGGGTGAGTGCGGTGGTGCGTGGAGCAGAAGAGGAGAGGAGCGGGGAGTCATCATGCAGGTGTGTGGGAGGTCAGAGGAGGAGAGTAGCCCCAGGGGACATCATCCTTCAGGTATGTGCAGGTTACGTGGCTGGGATAAGAGACAGTTTGATGTTCAGTACAGAGATTGCCATGGCACATGGAGGACATGAAGTTTCATGTGCTTGTTACCCTCCATGTTCAAGTCTCTCTCTCCCATCTCTATCTTCCTGCTCTCTCTGCTCTATTCTCTCTCCCTCCTCACGCATTCCCCTCTCTTCCCTCTCCCTCTCCCCCTCCCTCCTCACGGCGGAGAGCCTCTCATGGCAGCGTGCAGGGCAGCTGGGGTAGTAGGCGACCATTGGGTCCTCTCTCCTCCCTCTCCTCTCCAATCTCTCTCTGCCTCAACTCTCCCCCTCCCCAGTTGCACCCCTCAGCCATCCGTCACGGGGGAGAGCCTCTCATGGCAGCGTGCAAAGCAGCGGCCATGGCTGCACGTGTGCCCATCGCCTTGCACCTCGACCATGCCACTGATGTGGGCCTGATTCAGCGGTGTGTGGAACAGGTGCGTACGCATGGTGGTGTGTACGCATGGTGGTGTGTGCTGTGTTTCAGGTGTGTGCCGAGCACACATCCCCTCATGGCAGTGTGCAAAGCGGCGGCCATGGCTGCACGCGTGCCCATCGCACTGCACGTCGACCATGCCACTGATCTTACACTCATACAGCGATGTGTGGATCAGGTATGCGTGTAGCAGGTATGTGTGTAGCAGGTATGTGTGTAGCAGGTATGTGTGTAGCAGCAGGCCAACACGCCTGGAGCTGTGTGCAGCCACTGTTTGCGAGGAAGAGGACGTATCATGATTTAAGGTGAAGGGGTGTACATATATGCTGTGTGCAGCTGCTGTGTGTATTTGTATCAACCGGTACATTTCCAGGCCTAAGCTGATGCTCCATGCCTCATGCCCCATGCCTCGTGCACAAAGCCAATGCTCCATCCCCATACTCCATGCCATAACCCCTCCACTACCACTCAATCACCTCGCATCCCCCACCCCACATGCCCGGTGTGTAGGGGTGGTGCCGGTCCATCATGGCGGACGGCTCGCACCTGCCCCTGGCAGACAACATCGCCTTCACTCAACGCGTTGTGGCCGCACTCGCTCCCCACACTACACCACTCCATTCCCTTGCCCCATACCCCCTCCCCCACATGCACTCGCTCCCCATGTCCCCTACTCCATACTCTCTTCCCCACCCCACATACGTGTGACTGCAGGGGTGGTGCCGGTCTGTCATGGCGGACGGCTCGCACCTGCCCCTGGCAGACAACGTCGCCTTCACTCGACGCGTTGTGACCACATTCGCTTCCCTCACCACCCCAGCGGCTGCCCCAGCAGCAGGTTCATCAGATGCAGCAGCAGCAGCGGCAGTGAAAGCAGCATGCATTGGGGGAGGGGTGGTGGTGGTGGAGGCGGAGGTGGGGCGGATAGCTGGAGTAGAGGATGGGGAGACAGTTGAGGAGATTGTAGGCAGGCTTACACAGGTTGATCAGGTAAGATGCCCTGTAAGAGCAGCGGGCAGCGGGGGACGGGCGGTGGTGGTGGAGGCAGAGGTGGGGCGGATAGCAGGCGTGGAGGATGGGGAGACAGTGGAGGAGATTGCAGGGCGGCTCACCCAAGTGGAACAGGTGAGGTGCGGTGGGAGCAGGTGGGGCACGGTGGGAGCAGGTGATCCCAACTGCCAGGTGTCACTCTTCGCAATCTTGTCGGCACTATCCCTCATCCCTTCCCCTTCCTCCTTTCCCCCATCCACACCCCTCCCCTTCCTCCTTCCTCCTTCCTCCTTCCCCCTTCCCCCCATACCCCTACATGCCTCATCCCTTCCCATCCCTCCTTCCCCTGCCTCCCCACCCGCACCTGCACCTTCTCCCCTCCCCCCCTGGTGCTGCACGGAGCCTCGGGATTGTCGCCAGGGATTGCCGTGTCTCATCTCTTCCCGTTCCTCCTCCCACCCACCTTCCCGTGCAGGCGGAGACATTCCTTCAAAGCGTTCCCCAGGTGTCTCTCCTTGCAGTGTGTGTGGGCAATCGCCACGGCCCCTACCCGCCCTCCGCACTCTCCTCTCCCGCCTCCATCCTCAACCTCCCCCTCCTCCGCTCCCTCGCCGCCACCGCCTCCCACCACCACGCACACCTGGTGCTGCACGGGGCCTCGGGATTGCCGCCAGAGATTGTGCAGGAGTGTGTACAGTGCGGCGTGCGCAATTTCAATGTTAATACCGAGTTGAGGGCTGCTTATATGGAGGCACTGGCGGGGACTGGGGGAGGGGGGGGAGGAGGGAGGGATTTGGTGGATGTGATGGGAGAGGCGGAGAGGAGGATGATAGATGTGGTGAGGGGGAAGGTGAGGCTGTTTGGGTCGGCTGGTCACGTGTGAGCTTGCATGTGTGTGGAAGAGGGGAGAGGGGTGTGGGAGAGGAGGGGGGAGGGAACGAGTGGATGTGATGGGAGAGGCTGAGAGGATGGAGACTGTGGTGCGGGGGAAGGTAAGGCTGTTTGGGTCGGCTGGTCGCATGTGAGCTTCCGTGTGTGGGAGACGGGAGTGTGGGAGAGGGGAGTGTGGGAGAAGGGAGTTTTAGAGAGGGAGGTTGCAGGAAGGGAGGAGGGATTAGATTGACATTGAAATAGATGGATTAAAGAGCGGTGGAAGCAGATGGGTTGTAGGGTTGTTTTACACAGTTCATGCTGTTTACACAGTTAATTGCATCAATGAGTGTCAAAAGCGGAAACTTCAAACTTCGGAAACTACCTGTCTCATGCATCGTTCCCACGAGCATCGTTCCCACGAGCATCGTTCCCACGAGCATCGTTCCCACAGGCACCGTTCCCACGGGCACCGTTCCCACGGGCCTCGTTCCCACGGGCCTCGTTCCCACGGGCCTCGTTCCCACGGGCCTCGTTCCCACGGGCCTCGTTCCCACGGGCCTCGTTCCCAGGGGCCTCGTTCCCAGGGGCCTCGTTCCCAGGGGCCTCGTTCCCAGGGGCCTCGTTCCCAGGGGCCTCGTTCCCAGGGGCCTCGTTCCCAGGGGCCTCGTTCCCAGGGGCCTCGTTCCCAGGGGCCTCGTTCCCAGGGGCCTCGTTCCCAGGGGCCTCGTTCCCAGGGGCCTCGTTCCCAGGGGCCTCGTTCCCAGGGGCCTCGTTCCCAGGGGCCTCGTTCCCAGGGGCCTCGTTCCCAGGGGCCTCGTTCCCAGGGGCCTCGTTCCCAGGGGCCTCGTTCCCAGGGGCCTCGTTCCCAGGGGCCTCGTTCCCAGGGGCCTCGTTCCCAGGGGCCTCGTTCCCACGAGCCTCGTTCCCAGGGGCCTCGTTCCCAGGGGCCTCGTTCCCAGGGGCCTCGTTCCCAGGGGCCTCGTTCCCAGGGGCCTCGTTCCCAGGGGCCTCGTTCCCACGAGCCTCGTTCCCAGGGGCCTCGTTCCCAGGGGCCTCGTTCCCAGGGGCCTCGTTCCCAGGGGCCTCGTTCCCAGGGGCCTCGTTCCCAGGGGCCTCGTTCCCAGGGGCCTCGTTCCCAGGGGCCTCGTTCCCAGGGGCCTCGTTCCCAGGGGCCTCGTTCCCACGAGCCTCGTTCCCAGGGGCCTCGTTCCCAGGGGCCTCGTTCCCAGGGGCCTCGTTCCCAGGGGCCTCGTTCCCACGAGCCTCGTTCCCAGGGGCCTCGTTCCCAGGGGCCTCGTTCCCAGGGGCCTCGTTCCCACGAGCCTCGTTCCCACAAGCCTCGTTCCCACGAGCCTCGTTCCCAGGAGCCTTGTTCCCAGGAGCCTCATTCCCAAGGGCCTCGTTCTCAGGGGCCTCGTTCCCACGAGCCTCGTTCCCACGAGCCTCGTTCCCACGAGCCTCGTTCCCACGAGCCTCGTTCCCACGAGCCTCGTTTCCACGAGCCTCGTTCCCACGAGCCTCGTTCCCACGAGCCTCGTTCCCACGAGGCTTCAAGCCTTCAAGCCTTAAGCCTTCAAGCCTTCAAGCCTTCAAGCCCTCAAGCCTTCAAGCCTTCAAGCCCTCAAGCCTTCAAGCCTTCAAGCCTTCAAGCCTTCAAGCCTTCAAGCCTTCAAGCCTTCAAGCTTTCAAGCCTTCAAGCCTTCAAGCCTTCAAGCCTTCAAGCCTTCAAGCCTTCAATCCTTCAAGCCTTCAAGCCTTCAAGCCTTCAAGCCTTCAAGCCCTCAAGCCTTCAAGCCTTCAAGCCTTCAAGCCTTCAAGCCTTCAAGCCTTCAAGCCTTCAAGCCTTCAAGCCTTCAAGCCTTCAAGCCTTCAAGCCCTCAAGCCTTCAAGCCTTCAAGCCTTCAAGCCTTCAAGCCTTCAAGCCTTCAAGCCTTCAAGCCTTCAAGCCTTCAAGCCTTCAAGCCTTCAAGCCTTCAAGCCTTCAAGCCTTCAAGCCTTCAAGCCTTCAAGCCTTCAAGCCTTCAAGCCCTCAAGCCTTCAAGCCTTCAAGCCCTCAAGCCTTCAAGCCTTCAAGCCTTCAAGCCTTCAAGCCTTCAAGCCTTCAAGCCCTCAAGCCCTCAAGCCCTCAAGCCTTCAAGCCTTCAAGCCTTCAAGCCTTCAAGCCCTCAAGCCCTCAAGCCCTCAAGCCCTCAAGCCTTCAAGCCTTCAAGCCCTCAAGCCCTCAAGCCTTCAAGCCTTCAAGCCTTCAAGCCTTCAAGCCTTCAAGCCTTCAAGCCTTCAAGCCTTCAAGCCTTCAAGCCTTCAAGCCCTCAAGCCTTCAAGCCCTCAAGCCCTCAAGCCCTCAAGCCTTCAAGCCTTCAAGCCTTCAAGCCTTCAAGCCTTCAAGCCTTCAAGCCTTCAAGCCTTCAAGCCTTCAAGCCTTCAAGCCTTCAAGAATTCAAGCCTTCAAGCCCTCAAGCCTTCAAGCCCTCAAGCCCTCAAGCCCTCAAGCCTTCAAGCCTTCAAGCCCTCAAGCCTTCAAGCCTTCAAGCCCTCAAGCCTTCAAGCCTTCAAGCCTTCAAGCCTTCAAGCCCTCAAGCCTTCAAGCCTTCAAGCCCTCAAGCCCTCAAGCCTTCAACACTTCAAGCCTTCAAGCCTTCAAGCCCTCAAGCCCTCAAGCCTTCAAGCCCTCAAGCCCTCAAGCCTTCAAGCCTTCAAGCCTTCAAGCCTTCAAGCCCTCAAGCCCTCAAGCCTTCAAGCCCTCAAGCCTTCAAGCCTTCAAGCCTTCAAGCCTTCAAGCCTTCAAGCCTTCAAGCCCTCAAGCCTTCAAGCCTTCAAGCCTTCAAGCCTTCAAGCCTTCAAGCCTTCAAGCCTTCAAGCCTTCAAGCCTTCAAGCCCTCAAGCCTTCAAGCCCTCAAGCCCTCAAGCCCTCAAGCCTTCAAGCCTTCAAGCCCTCAAGCCTTCAAGCCTTCAAGCCTTCAAGCTTTCAAGCCTTCAAGCCTTCAAGCCCTCAAGCCTTCAAGCCTTCAAGCCTTCAAGCCTTCAAGCCCTCAAGCCTTCAAGCCTTCAAGCTTTCAAGCCTTCAAGCCTTCAAGCCTTCAACCCTTCAAGCCTTCAAGCCTTCAAGCCTTCAAGCCTTCAAGCCTTCAAGCCCTCAAGCCTTCAAGCCCTCAAGCCTTCAAGCCTTCAAGCCTTCAAGCCTTCAAGCCCTCAAGCCTTCAAGCCTTCAAGCCTTCAAGCCTTCAAGCCCTCAAGCCTTCAAGCCTTCAAGCCCTCAAGCCTTCAAGCCTTCAAGCCTTCAAGCCTTCAAGCCTTCAAGCCTTCAAGCCTTCAAGCCTTCAAGCCTTCAAGCCTTCAAGCCCTCAAGCCTTCAAGCCTTCAAGCCCTCAAGCCTTCAAGCCTTCAAGCCTTCAAGCCTTCAAGCCTTCAAGCCCTCAAGCCTTCAAGCCTTCAAGCCTTCAAGCCTTCAAGCCTTCAAGCCTTCAGGACTTCAAGCCTTCAGGCCTTCAAGCCTTCAAGCCTTCAAGCCTTCAAGCCCTCAAGCCTTCAAGCCTTCAAGCCTTCAAGCCTTCAAGCCTTCAAGCCTTCAAGCCTTCAAGCCTTCAAGCCTTCAAGCCTTCAAGCCTTCAAGCCTTCAAGCCTTCAAGCCTTCAAGCCTTCAAGCCCTCAAGCCTTCAAGCCCTCAAGCCCTCAAGCCTTCAAGCCTTCAAGCCTTCAAGCCTTCAAGCCTTCAAGCCCTCAAGCCTTCAAGCCTTCAAGCCTTCAAGCCTTCAAGCCTTCAAGCCTTCAAGCCTTCAAGCCTTCAAGCCTTCAAGCCTTCAAGCCTTCAAGCCTTCAAGCCTTCAAGCCTTCAAGCCTTCAAGCCTTCAAGCCTTCAAGCCTTCAAGCCTTCAAGCCTTCAAGCCTTCAAGCCTTCAAGCCTTCAAGCCTTCAAGCCTTCAAGCCCTCAAGCCTTCAAGCCTTCAAGCCTTCAAGCCTTCAAGCCTTCAAGCCTTCAAGCCTTCAAGCCCTCAAGCCTTCAAGCCCTCAAGCCCTCAAGCCTTCAAGCCCTCAAGCCTCAAGTCCTCAAGCCCTCAAGCCCTCAAGCCTTCAAGCCTTCAAGCCTTCAAGCCTTCAAGCCTTCAAGCCTTCAAGCCTTCAAGCCCTCAAGCCTTCAAGCCTTCAAGCCCTCAAGCCCTCAAGCCCTCAAGCCTTCAAGCCCTCAAGCCCTCAAGCCTTCAAGCCTTCAAGCCTTCAAGCCTTCAAGCCTTCAAGCCTTCAAGCCTTCAAGCCTTCAAGCCTTCAAGCCTTCAAGCCTTCAAGCCTTCAAGCCTTCAAGCCTTCAAGCCCTCAAGCCTTCAAGCCCTCAAGCCTTCAAGCCCTCAAGCCCTCAAGCCTTCAAGCCCTCAAGCCTTCAAGCCTTCAAGCCCTCAAGCCTTCAAGCCTTCAAGCCTTCAAGCCTTCAAGCCCTCAAGCCTTCAAGCCTTCAAGCCTTCAACCCTTCAAGCCTTCAAGCCTTCAAGCCCTCAAGCCCTCAAGCCTTCAAGCCTTCAAGCCCTCAAGCCCTCAAGCCTTCAAGCCTTCAAGCCTTCAAGCCTTCAAGCCTTCAAGCCCTCAAGCCCTCAAGCCCTCAAGCCTTCAAGCCTTCAAGCCCTCAAGCCTTCAAGCCTTCAAGCCCTCAAGCCTTCAAGCCTTCAAGCCCTCAAGCCTTCAAGCCTTCAAGCCCTCAAGCCTTCAAGCCTTCAAGCCTTCAAGCCTTCAAGCCCTCAAGCCTTCAAGCCTTCAAGCCTTCAAGCCTTCAACCCTTCAACCCTTCAACCCTTCAAGCCTTCAAGCCCTCAAGCCTTCAAGCCCTCAAGCCCTCAAGCCCTCAAGCCTTCAAGCCTTCAAGCCTTCAAGCCCTCAAGCCTTCAAGCCTTCAAGCTGTCAAGCCTTCAGCCTTCAAGCCTTTAAGCCTTCAAGCCTTCAAGCCTTCAAGCCTTCAAGCCTTCAAGCCCTCAAGCCCTCAAGCCTTCAAGCCTTCAAGCCTTCAAGCCCTCAAGCCTTCAAGCCTTCAAGCCTTCAAGCCTTCAAGCCTTCAAGCCTTCAAGCCTTCAAGCCTTCAAGCCTTCAAGCCTTCAAGCCTTCAAGCCTTCAAGCCTTCAAGCCTTCAATCCTTCAAGCCCTCAAGCCCTCAAGCCTTCAAGCCTTCAAGCCTTCAAGCCTTCAAGCCTTCAAGCCTTCAAGCCTTCAAGCCTTCAAGCCTTCAAGCCTTCAAGCCCTCAAGCCTTCAAGCCTTCAAGCCTTCAAGCCCTCAAGCCTTCAAGCCTTCAAGCCTTCAAGCCTTCAAGCCTTCAAGCCTTCAAGCCTTCAAGCCTTCAAGCCTTCAAGCCCTCAAGCCCTCAAGCCTTCAAGCCTTCAAGCCCTCAAGCCTTCAAGCCTTCAAGCCCTCAAGCCCTCAATCCGTCAAGCCCTCAAGCCTTCAAGCCTTCAAGCCTTCAAGCCTTCAAGCCTTCAAGCCTTCAAGCCTTCAAGCCTTCAAGCCTTCAAGCCTTCAAGCCTTCAAGCCCTCAAGCCTTCAAGCCTTCAAGCCCTCAAGCCCTCAAGCCCTCAAGCCCTCAAGCCTTCAAGCCTTCAAGCCCTCAAGCCTTCAAGCCTTCAAGCCTTCAAGCCTTCAAGCCTTCAAGCCTTCAAGCCTTCAAGCCTTCAAGCCTTCAAGCCTTCAAGCCTTCAAGCCTTCAAGCCCTCAAGCCCTCAAGCCTTCAAGCCTTCAAGCCTTCAAGCCTTCAAGCCCTCAAGCCCTCAAGCCCTCAAGCCCTCAAGCCCTCAAGCCCTCAAGCCTTCAAGCCTTCAAGCCTTCAAGCCCTCAAGCCTTCAAGCCCTCAAGCCTTCAAGCCTTCAAGCCTTCAAGCCTTCAAGCCTTCAAGCCTTCAAGCCCTCAAGCCTTCAAGCCTTCAAGCCTTCAAGCCTTCAAGCCCTCAAGCCTTCAAGCCTTCAAGCCTTCAAGCCTTCAACCCTTCAACCCTTCAACCCTTCAACCCTTCAAGCCTTCAAGCCTTCAAGCCTTCAAGCCCTCAAGCCCTCAAGCCCTCAAGCCTTCAAGCCTTCAAGCCTTCAAGCCTTCAAGCCTTCAAGCCTTCAAGCCTTCAAGCCTTCAAGCCTTCAAGCCTTCAAGCCTTCAAGCTTTCAAGCCTTCAAGCCTTCAAGCCTTCAAGCCCTCAAGCCTTCAAGCCCTCAAGCCTTCAAGCCTTCAAGCCTTCAAGCCCTCAAGCCCTCAAGCCCTCAAGCCTTCAAGCCCTCAAGCCCTCAAGCCTTCAAGCCCTCAAGCCTTCAAGCCTTCAAGCCTTCAAGCTTTCAAGCCTTCAAGCCCTCAAGCCTTCAAGCCTTCAAGCCTTCAAGCCTTCAAGCCTTCAAGCCCTCAAGCCCTCAAGCCTTCAAGCCTTCAATCCTT